TACGGGGCAAGACCTAGAAGGTCTACTAAAATAGCACTTCTTAATATCTACGAGCAAGTACGAGCAGCCTGGAAAAGAAATCGAAAACACGTAGCGACAATTCTCTCTCTGGACGTGGCTAAGGCATTCGACCGAGTTTCACACGAACGCCTCATCTACAACCTCAGAAAGAGGAGGATTCCCCAGGTGCTAGTGAACTAGGTCGCAAGCTTCCTAATAGACAGACAAACGTCGATAAGACTGGGGAACTATACCTCAGAACTAATGGACGTACAGGTCGGGATCCCGTAGGGATCCCCACTATCGCCAATCCTGTACCTCTTCTATAACGCGGACCTAGTAGAGGACTGTGTGAAGGCACGGCTCAACTCCAGCACTACGGCCTTTATGGATGACAATAACATCCTAGTATACGGACTGTCTATAAGGAGCAACTGTGAGAAGCTACAAGAGATCTATGGTATCTGTGAAAGGTGGGCCACACGACACGGCTCCCAATTCAACGTCGACAAATATTATATGATCCATATGGCAAAAGCTAGGAGAGACGACCTCTAGCAAACGCTCACCCTCGACGGGCAAGTCATCAAACCCGAGGCCGAGCTCAAGATACTGGGAATCTACCTAGATAGAACGCTGAGTGGTCGAGCCCAAGTTCGAGCAATAGCAGATAAGGTCCCGGCCCTACTGGCGGCGCTGAAAACACTTCAAGGGTCCACCTAGGGGGCATCTCTCCAGGCGAGTCGTTAAGTATACCTAGGGATGGTCCGACCAGCGCTGACATACGGCTCGCTGGCCTGGCACAGACCGGAAGGGGCCATCGGTGGAGGAAAGACTACCGCGAGCAAACTGCAGGCCATCCAAGGACGCTGCCTAAGGGTGGTAGCCGGAGCCTATAAGGCTACGTCCACCCAAGCCTTAGAGGCGGAGACGGGGGTTCAGCCAATCGATATTCACCTCGACAAGCTCACGTTAGTGGCTGTGGCGCGCTGTGTGCTCTCGGAAGCTGGTAAGGGAATCGAGAGGAGGGTGGCAGCAATCCTGAGGGGACGGAGAGTTCGGGGTCGAACGCCGACTCATTGGGGACCGCTTCAAACCCTGAAAGCCTGGATAACGGCGATCTCACCCCAACCTCTGGAGAGACGACAGGGGCTGAACGAGGAAGCAAATCGGAAGGCCAACCAGGAGCTACTCGAAATAGCGAAAACAGCAGTTACCACCGAGTGCCAGCGCCGCTGGAGGATCCGGTGGGAAAATGGAGAGAAAGGGGCTCACAGCCGGGTCCTACAACCCCGGCTGAATGGAAAAAAGACCCTACAACTCCACAAGGGGATGAAGAAGCATCAATCGGCGATCACGGTGCAACTAAGAACGGGGAAGATAGGCTTTCGAGCCTTCCTCCACAAAATGAAGGTCCCGAACATTGGCAGCCCACTCTGTCCGATGTGCGGAGAACTAGAAACGGTACAACATGTCCTATTAAGATGCCAGAGATGGACGGAGCTGAGAGAGGAGTGTCTAAGAGACGGACTCAAGACTGGGGTCAGGCCGACGTTACAGGCGCTCCTGAACACGAAACAAGGCTGTCGAGCGGCAGTCAGGATGATACAGAGAACGGAACTACTTATGCAGTACCGCCTCTGTGAGGTGTTGGCGGTGGAGACGGAGAAAGAGAGGGAGGAAAGAGAGGAAGAAGAGAGGGATGGAGACCCGATCAGGGCTTAGAGGTTAGGGAAGGGTGTTGAGTCCACATTAGCCCGAGTTTGGCTACGAGGACTATAAAGGGAACCAAATAAATAAATAAGATATAACAGCCGGGGATACGAGTTCGCGGTAGTAGAGTACACTTATATAGTAGAAGGAAGAGAAGCTCTTCTATTTAAATTCGTCGCCCTAAGAGCAAGATATATATTTAGAATTATTAAAAACGACCTCTACGAGATCTAGATTATAATAAGACACTAGAAAGAGGTACTATATCGGGTGGACTTATACTAATAACTAGAGTACTATAGATAACATCACGTCGTGTACGCGCTATAGGAATTCGTCTAAGAAATAGAAAGGGTACTACAACTATAGATATATACCGACCCTTAGTGCGAGGAAAAGGAAAACCCGTATACCTACTACCACGAGTAAGGATTATACCTCTACCCGTTTCGAGAGTATTTTTTTATTAATTCCTTTTAACGTCCAGTAATCACCCTTCGCGGGCCTATGAAGACGGTTCTCTCTTCCCTATCCTTCCTTGCTTACTCCCGCTCTTGTTCGCTCTCTCCCTCCCTCTCCCTCTCTTCCTCTTCGTCCCTTGTTGCTATCTCCCCTTCGTCGCCCTCCTCCCCCACCTCTCTGTAGTTCCTGTACTGTGCCAGCAGGTCTGTGGCCAGGACTAGGCGGGCCGCCTCAAGGCACCCTTGTCTTGTGCTGAGTATCGCGGCTAGGGAGTCCCCAGTGTTGTTCCTAATGACTCTTGCTCGTAGCTCGTTCCACCGCCGGCATTTCAGTATAACGTGTTCCACCGTCATCTCCTCTCCGCTCTCACACTGTAAACAGAGAGGGCTGTCGACCCCGGGCACTCTTCTCTTGTAGAGGAAAGCATTGAAGCCGATTTGTCCTGTCCTGAGTTGGACGATCAGCGCTGACAGGTGTTTCCGTAGTCCACGATGGACTTTGCATGTTTTCCTGTTCAGCTTTGGTTGGAGTGATCGACTGTGGGCACCTTTTGCTCCTTTCTCCCATCTTTCATCCCATTTTCGATACATTTCCTTCATCAGACTTTTCTTAGCCGACCGGGAGTCTTTCTGGTCACCCTCTAGACTCAGCACCACGTTAATTTCCCTGGCCTTACTCTCTACCCACTTCTTCAGGGTTTGAAAGGGACTATTTGGCTGTGGAGTCCTTCCTCTTCTTCTACCGGCTCGAAGAATTACTGCGGTCCTTCCTTCGATGCTTTGTAGCGTCTTTGATTTTATCGCCCTGGCTGTCGCTAGGTAGGTGAGTGTATCGGTGTGTAGGTCTAACGGTTCGACGCCGAGCTCTGCCTCTAGAGCCTCTGTTGCTGTGGCCCTATATGCCCCGGCGACCACTCTCAAGAATTTTCCTTAAAGGTCCTGGAGCTTTCGGGCGACGCCCTTCCTTCCCTTGAAGAGGTGACTTGGCTCGTTCCATAGGAGAGCCCTATATGTTAATGCTGGTCGAATCGCCCGGAGGTATACTTGTTTCCCTGTCTCCAGGTTGGCTCCCCAGACGGAACTCGTGAGAGTCTTCATGGCTGCTATTAACGCTGGCACCTTAGCCTCTATATTTTTAACGTGGGCTCTCCCGCTTAGTTTCGTATCGAGGATAACTCCTAGGAGTTTCATTTGAGGTTTCGGCGCCACCACGGTGCCGCCTAAATCCAGAGCCTGGTCCAGGTCTTTACGTCGCTGTCTTGTAAGGTGTAGTAGACCATACTTGCCCACGTTGAACTGGGACCCATGCGTCCTGCTCCAGTGTTCGCATATTCCGTGTATCTCTTTTAGCCTGCGGCAGTTCTCTCTCGTGGATTTCGAGTAGACGAGGATATCTGTATCGTCCACGAAGGCGGTTGTTTCCGCTTGGTGGGCTCTACTCCTGCATTGTTCGATAATATCGGCGCCATAGAAAAGATATAGGATTGGCGAGATAGGTGAACCCTGGGGGATACCTACTTGTATGCTTTTTTCCTTTGAGGTATAGCCCCCTATTCTTATCGTAGTCCTTCTGTCTTCGAGGAAACTCACCACCCATGTTCGGAGCACTTCTGGGATCTTCCTCTTTCTGAGGTTATGTATCAGTCTCGGGTGTGATACTCTATCGAATGCTTTCGATACGTCCAGGGATAGGATAGATGCCACATTTCTTTTGTCTTTCCTCCAGATCGCCCTGACTTGTTCGCAGATATTTAGGAGAGCTGTTTCCGTTGACCTTCCCGGTCTCGCTCCATACTGTGTGTCCGGGAGTAAGCTGAAGGTCTCGGCTAGCGCGCCTACCCTGCTAGCTATAACAGACTCAAGGACTTTTCCGAAGGTATATATACCTAGTACTATACTTAGAAAGCTCGAATACCGAGAATTTAGTATATACGATTAATAAAATAATATTCGCGTAATATAGAATACCGGATATTATTATCTCGGATAGAGATAAATTATTTAAATTACGCTTCTAGTAATCGCTAATTAACTAGCTAGGGATTAAGTATAAACTCTTAATAGTATATTACCCCTAGATAGATAGCTAAATAGAGAGGATAAATTAAACCGCAGAATAATATTTAAGATACTATTTAAACGACGAGTAAAATAACTAGGTAACTCTACTACTAATAGTATAGTTTATATTTAATAATAACGCGTTAGTTATAGGAATATCGCCCTTCTACGCGAACTATAAGAAATATCTAAGAATCGATCGAAACCTAAAGGGAATAAAACCTATAGTAGAAAAAATATAAGTTATAGTCTAACGGCTATAAGACTTATACGGATAACTTAAATAGGAACTAGACTTTATCGCGGAAAGAATAATAGAATTTATAAATAGAAAAAGATCTAAGGGACTAGATCTCTAGAAGGAGGAGATAGTATACCTATATAGAAAAAATATTAAAATAAAGAGACTAAGTGATAAACTAGACTTTATTAGGATCGGACCTTATAAAATTAAGAGAAAACTTAGACTAGTTACTTTCGAATTAGATCTACTAAAGAAAATACGAATCTACCCGGTATTTTATATATCGCTACTAGAACTATTATATATAGACGCTAGACTAGGACTCGTGGAGATTAATAAGGAAATATAAGAACTACGCTTTAAAGTCGAGCGAATTATCGACTACCAACCTATCGATGGAAAACTATATTACCTAGTTAAGTGGTTAGGATATAACGAATCTAAGAACACATGGGAGCTAGAGGAACACCTTACCTAGCAACTTCGGGAGGGTTATCAGAGGAAGCACCGAGAACCGTGTCCTAGTCGACAGACTCGGAGAAAGGCACCTCGGACCAAGGAAAATTAAGGTCCGCAAAGGCACCCTCGTCCTCGGGGGGCTTCTCTTCGAGAACCCCGAGGGCCTGGAGCTCGCGACGGATCATCCGAGAAGAAACCTCGTCTAGGTGGGCCAAGGACTCCTGGACCGACGAGTCCTCGGCTTCTACGTCGGCCAGAGCGCGACGAAGTCGGGCGATTTCTTTCCGCTTCCTTCGGGATTTTTCCTGTAAGGATTTCTTTTCATCAACTACTCGACGGAACTCCTCTAACGAGAAGGAACCGTCGCAGTCAATGTTCTTTCGGAGACAGTAGGAGCACTTTGTCGAACGCTCCTTGGAAAAATAACACACGTCGCCGGAGCGGGCGCAGTTAGAATAGGCAACCATTACGGGAAAGGAGGAGAGTTTAATCGCGGCAGCAAGGTCGAGGCGTCTGTCGGTTGACGAGCGTTTAGATTTTAGGCCTGCGCGCGGCATGGTTAGCCATGGGAAGAAAGAAGACAAGACTAGGTGAGAGGGAGGCGGGCTTACTTATATACGTCGGGTCGCCGTCCAGGTCTAGGAGGGGGAAAGTGTCAGGATCAGGATGCTGGCATGCTTGCCTATTGCCTGACAGGTGAAGGAGAAGAAAGCAGGTATACCGAGGCACGGCACGTGAGCACACGACCACGATGTCACGTGACTGTTGGATATGATCTGACTGCTCTGTTGCTCTGACAGAGCACCAGGAGCAGACAGAGCAAGATGGGATGCTACGGGTCTCTTATGTCTATATAGTTGTGGGCTTCACCCACCTTTCATAGTTCTCCTTCCGTAGTCAACTTCGCTTATAAACTAGGTGATACATTTCATTAATAGTTTTCGTTCTAAATATAGACACCCTTACTCTAGTATACGCATCGAAACATCTTCTTCCGCTTATTAGTACCTTCACTCGAACACGTGACTCCTTAAGGAACGATTCGTGACACGTAGCTACTCTTCTTAAAATTATTAAATAACGGGTGTTAAGTACTACCTAGCTAAAAGTATCGGATCTATCGCCGCTAATTAGTATATAACGCCGATAGTAAATATCGCTCCGCGAGAAAGCCTAAGTTTAAGTAATATACTAGGAACCGATTTCGCGAAAGCAACCTCGAGACGAACTTATTAGCTTATCCTCTACTTACTAAGAACCTCGTACGGTATCTTCTTCCCTTCGATGAGACTAGGCGAATCGATACTATATACAGCTTAGGTACTTAAATAACCGGAAGATCTACGCTGGCCGATAGTAAAGACCGCTAGAGCCTTTACGTCGTACGGAACGGAGTGAAGGTTTACCCGTTAACTATCCTCTTTATACAACCTATATTCTAGTAGACCTCTTAGCTCGTCCCTCTATACTCTCTAACTAACTCCTAAGTGGTAGTGAATAGCCCGAAGCTCTTACCTAGCTAAAAATCCCGTATACCAGCTATCCTATCTAATTTCGTTGGCTCTCTATTAAGGATAAACGTCTACACAGCCCTATAGCTCCTGCCAGTTCTATGTCGATTGGCCGTATATATACGTAGTTATTAGGTCGGCTAATTAATTTCTATAAGGTCGGTACCGTTCACTCCGTTCTAGCGTTCTCTCACACAGCCGTGCTTATATAAAAGCGCCTCCATCCTGGTAGCGTAGGGATAATTGCTGTTTAGTGTCCTGCTCTTATAAGTCTACCTTACCCGCCCTAATTTCTATACCATGTCCAACTATATATAACCCCACCGCCAGAAACGCCTAATAACTAAGGTATGAAGGATGCACGGTTACCAGCACGCGGTGGGAATCCGACTTCAGCGATGAAAATCATCTCCCGACGGCTCCTCCGGACGTGGGTTTGAATTATAGATGGACCACTCTAGTGCAGTTGGTTTAATGGTTTCCTCGGTCCAGTTTCCCACGGATGTCTATTCATACCGATGGAGGCGGTTTACGTGCGGTCACGGTTACCAAGGAAAGTACAGTATCAGTAATTGAACTGCTGTCTTGTCAATACACAAACTTCTACACGCTTTCTCACAATCGGCCTACCCACTTAGTATGCACACACATATTCCCAAATTAGACGCCAAGATATTATGCCTAGGACTTATCCGTATCTAGTAAAGTCGTACCACCCACAATCACAAATCGCCGATAAGCGGAGTGCAGCCTCGGATTTGCCAATACGACGTATTACCCATGTACACTTTCCTCTAGCGTCTATGGCTGCTCACGTGCTTCGGCAAAAAGCTAGGAGACATAATAGCGGCAAGGAATTTCAGGGTCGACATCCCCGCCATCATGAAGACCTTTGCTGGAACGTCTGAGAGGCTTCTGGTAATCCAGCCGTGTTGCCACCCACCTGTCACCAGGTCAGACGAGCGGCTCCACAGCAGCTGACCTCAGGCTATTCTACTGGTAAAGAAGCTCCTAGAATCTAGGTTGAGAGATATATAATAATGTATTTCCCCAGACCCCTTTAATACCAAGGGAATAAAAAATAAAGATTACACCACGTTAAGAACCACTAAGTTGGATGAATCTGACTTGGCCAGAATTCAGACCGATAGCAATCGTATTTCCGTAGAATGCCGAACAACCACTGCGATACTCCTGTGGAAGCCAGAGAAGATTATGCTCACCTCGTCGAATCCACTCATTTATGATCATGCCAGTTTCATTGGTCAAAGACTTAATAGCCTGGCTAGGAGGTAATCGATCATTGATGGATAGAGCTCCTCGATTAGTGAGTAAAGTCTTATTGTCGATTGTAAATTTGATGGTCGTGACAAAGGCTATATCCTCGA